CCCCAAAACCCCAAAACCCCTACAGGTAAATTCATAATAATTAGGTCTAAATATAATTTAATTAACAAAAGCACTGATAGTAAATCAAATTTTATCGTATTATCTCTTACCTTCTTCTCTTTTTTGCAATTTTTTCATTTCCTTGTCATACATTTCCTTCAAACCTAATTTTTCAAGTGTCTTCTTTCCTTCCGTATCAATATCAATGAAATTTAGCTTCTCTAAATCTTGCCTTATCTTCTCACTTGCTTGACATAAGTTACGAATAATCATTAAACACCATTCCCTCAAAGTTGGATTATCCTCATCAATCTTGGTATAGAAGAGAATTAAAGACAGGAATTCTTTGTTCTTTCTGAATACTGGTTCAGAACTTGCTGACAAATAAGTCAGATTAGCAATTAACTTTGCGATTTTAGAGAGGAATCCTCCAAATGGATGCTTTTATCTAGCCTTTTATGTGAAAGTTGCAAATTTCTCCTCAAATTCAAAAATTTTATGCTCAATCAAGATATCTGTAGTCTCTTTCAAATGCTTCATTAGCTGAAGTGCTGATTCTAACACTCCATGATTTATCAGTAATACCTTGAATTCTTAAGCTCGATCTCCAAAGGCTGTCAGGTTGGCAAAAATTTCTATTATCGCAAGCATAGCATCCATTATTTGCAATTAATACAATCTTAGTTTATCACAAATTTCTACTTACTTGATTTTCTACTCTTCTAATTGAGGGTTCCTCTAGTTTTAGTTCATTGGTGGAAAGTAATAACTCCTTCTTATATCAAGTTATGCATTGATTAGCTTCTTATCATAAACAAATCTAACAAAATCGTCTATCAAATACCCATTTCTATAGTAGCTAATGAATTTTTTAAGTATATCAGCCATGAATAAAACTGATTCCTTTTTTACAAATTAGAACATATCTTCGAATTTTTCATTATCAGAGTCAATAATTTCGCTCAGAATGTCAGAGTAATATAAAAGAAGTCTTGTTTAAAGTTTTCCGGGGCTATATATAGCATCTGGAAAGTTCTAATCTCCTTGATCATCATATAAACCACCACCATCATATTCTGAGCAATCATATGTAATATATCTTGCATTTTTAGAATGCACATTTTCGAGTTCAATCGTCTCTTTCATTGAACTTTCAAATTCACTAGCTGATAGAAAGTTATTATATATCTTTGGGAAAAGACTAAAATCTGAGTTAAACTTTGCATCTTTTTTCTCTCTGTAATATGAGCTGTAAAAATTCTAAGTAACTGACACAGAATGCTTCTCTTGACTTTTACTCACTGAGGGTTAGTCAAGATCTTTTTCTTTACTCTCTTCTAATTCTACCTCTTTGCTTTCAGCCCCCATCTCATCTCCTATAGAATCCAATTGGTCAGCATCTGCATCCTCATCTCCTTCTTCGTCATCCCTAGCTAAATCTTTAGCATTTTTGTTATGAGCAAGCATCATAAATAGTAGTGTAAACCATTCATTTATCTGGTTAAGCAGTTTATCTTTGCTCTCATTAAATACATCACTTTTAACATCTGAGAATACACTTTTAGTATCTTCCTTATCATCATCAATGCCCTAATTTTGCATCAAAGCCTAATCCTGATTCTTTATCGTTTTGCTTGACTATAAAGCTTAAGCATGAACTTCTTTTTCAGCTGATCTATCTTATTCATCATCAAAAGCTTTGTTAATGTATTTGAAAACTGTTTTTAATATTTTGACACCCTATAGTTTAAAGTCAATTGACAGAATAAATTCATACATATTTCTTGATAATGAATTTGTTTCTCAGTCTTTTCTGATTACACAATGAATTGTAAATGAATATTAATAGGTAGTGCATTAAACCTGGATGTGAAAGTAGTACAATTATAATTTCATTTGAATTTACTACTCGCTCAAATATGTATTTCTACAAGTAAACATATATAAACAATCATTAAGATAGATTACTTAATTCTTTTTATTTGCAGTGACAAAGTTGACTAATAATGCTATAATCTCCTTGATAAATAGATTAAGCTCTTCCTAGTGGTTATTCTTGAGTTCTTTATTACTTTTAGCTTCTTTGATAATTAGTTCACATACAGTGAGTAGGAGAGGCATTATTCCTTACTTCCTCAATGATTCCTGATTGTACAGAGATAAATAAATGAGTCTGAACTTTTAATTCTTACCTATATTAATTTTTGCATTCTACAGAGTTTCTTTAGAACTCCAAGGCAGAAGTTTAGTACTTTTATTCTTTTGAAGTGATTTGCGACATTATTATTATCAATTATATCATGGAATATATAATTCATGCCATCAAATGCTTCAGTCATGGTTTTATTCTCTAAGAATTCCAATACTCTATAAGGTGCTTTATCCAATTGCTAAGAAAATGAATTTAAACCTATGGTGTACTATTTTACCTCAAAAGTTTGCTTTATTTAGACGTAAAATGACAATACATACTCCTATTACTTTTCCATTTAATTTCCTAATTTTTAAATAATTATTTACAAAATTTGTTTTTGGTATATACTACTCATTATTGGTCTGATGGGGTTTTGGGGTTTTGGGGTTTTGGGG